ATTATTTATTTAAATAATATATTAAAAAATTGGACTTTTTTTTCAATTTTTCACCCTAAATGCAGTTCGATTTTTTTGCAGATTTGTATACGAAAAATATGGATCAAAATAGGGGATATGTGTTTTTGGAATTTTTTGTTTATTGCAATTTAGCAATAATTATTACATATAAAATTTTCTCCTACTTTTTGAGATTTGTTTTCGAAGAGGGTGAGCCCTTTTTATACGATAATTTGTCACGTTTTTAACAATTGAACAATATCAGATGTTTATTGTTTCATCGGTAGCCAGGGAAGGTCCAGCGAACAGGTATAAATCCGCCGCGGTACCTGTCGTCGCTATAGGAAACAGGGGTCTATGGCCAATGAAACTTATGACATCTTCTATGACACCTATGACACCTTCTCCGTATACATTGCAAATATCCCGGCCTGTTTCAGCAACTTTTCACAACTTTTCACAACTTTCTGGCCGCGATGAAAGCGAAGAAGAGCAGGTGACGAAAATGCTGCTTTTTACCTTCTTGATATTCCATTTCTGAGCCTCAATAGTAATAACGAATGAATCTACTGAAAAAAACGATTAACACAGTTTTCTAGAGCAGAAAGAGCTCTTTCGAATGAATATTATAACCCCTTGCAAATTGCAAAATGTCGCTGTAAAAAAAAGAAAATGTCAAAACGCCACGAACTTATTCCCCAATCTAATAGATGTGTTTTTTTCCCATATATTCAGACAAATATTAATTCAATTATAAGAAAAATGAATAAAACATTCTGTATATCGTTTCTAAATGAACGAGGAGAGGCAACGTTCTGGTTTTCACGCAGTTCGGAATCAGATTTCCAACGATCGACTCAATTTCGATGATGAATGCCTACGTAAACATAATCCACTAACCAGTAACCATTGATTAGCATTACAATCTGCTAATAACTACCCTTGCCATCCCTCTGGAACAACCCCGTTTTACCACCGCGTTCTATTCCCCTCCCATCAGCGCCCCCTGGTTTCTCCCCTGCACCATAAACCATCAACCACCCTAACGCTTCAATGGTTCCATTCTTTTGCTTCCTTAATACTTCTCATAATTTCTCTTACAAATTTTATCGGTGATATTGAAACGATGTTATTGTAATCGATAAACTATGGCGGTAAAAACATATGGGAAATACGCTTCAATAAAAATGAGATTTATAAGATTAATAAGAGAGGTTTTCCAAACATTGATAATCGATTTTGTTGAAAGTAAGTTTATGAAAAATTTGACGTATATTATTTTTTATCAACAGTGATTTATATTTGTGGGGTGAAGATAGATCAAAGTTAAAGATGGAAAATGCATTTTTGTTAATATCTTCAAATCTTCTTATGATACAAACAAGTTTTGTGTATGAAAATTTTTTGAACTGTCTATTTACATATAAGAAGATAGAAATTAACGTTTCTTTCTGCTTTTCATAAGATAAATGTGATGTCGGTTTGATCTAATTCTGTTTACAGATTCCAACACAGATTCTAGTCAGGAATTTTTTGACTCAGAAGTTAAATTCTATTTTTCTGTCTAAATATTGATGTCTAAAGCAATTAACATAATTGATTTAATCAACCGTTATACTATTCTGTTTATAAAATTATACTTACTATGTAAAAAACGTTTCTAAACAATTATATAATTTGTAATACATTGTCAACTATTGTGTTTTCTAAAAATAAAAACTAAAAAATTAAAGAATTCTCTTTAAACAATTTAATTTTGACTTAAAAATAATTAATACTGCATGCAGAGAATTAATTGTGATTCGTTACTTACTACATCAAAAAACGTTTTATATAGAATATTATTTCAATTAAGGAGACTTATTAGGCAGATAATAATCTCATTCTGTTATATAACAGAAAGTATAAATTTATATTTCCTAACATTTTCCGAATTATTAAAGCTATTACATTTCCATTAT